GGATTGTTTGAAGTTAGACATTAACACCGTTGGATGCCGGCTCAGTGGTCTAGTGGTTAAGTGCTCGCGCGCGAAGCCAGTAGGTCCTGGGTTCGAGCCCCGCGGGTTGCGGGAGCGTGGATGCGCACTGCTGAGGAGTCCCATACCAGGACGAAACAGCCGTCCAAAAACTGTATTAATTACAGATAATATTGAAAACAATTAGAATGTTTCTAATACTAAAATGATTAATTCACTTAATGAATTGTTTCATTACAACATGATTTGAAAACAAGTATTGAATCCCTGTAAATTATCATCTTGTCGTTCAGTTACCTCTAACTTACAATGACCTTACATTACTGACTACCATATAACATTTAACAACTGAAACGTTCTTTTAGAAAATGATCTCTAATATCTTCATTCATAAATCTTTAAGGATCACTACATAACTTGGGCAATGTGAAATTATAAAACATCATGCAAATCATATGATGATGATGATAAGGTTATACGAAATTTACTATTTCACAAAATAAGCATGCCGCTAAAAATGACAAATTGAAGTGATACAAAACTGTGTGAATCTAAATTTAAAAAAAAGAAAACTGGGTAGATAATTAATGAACGGTTATGTCTTGAATACTAAATGATAATTCTGTTTTAACATAGAAATAATCATTACATTTTCTGAAAATAATGATATGCATGAGATTTATGATTGTTAAAAAAGGAGGAGTAAAAAAAGAAATTGGTCAAGTTATAAATGTTACCAATCTTAATTTATGTGAAAGATTTACTCTCTACGAGACCTTAATGTTCTGTGCTAAATTCTGTTTAGAGTTGTAGATGTGCATTAATGAAGAGTCCCAAACAGGGATATAAGTACTCTCCAGCAGTTTTGAAAGGTTCTCCTGGTGATTTCAGTCTTTGATGCTAGTATCGAAAATGATAAATATCGTTAAGCTATATAAAAACGATACTTGATATTAAGTTATAAGATTCGGTTAGAGTAAATCAACAAAATCCAATTCATACCACAGTATAAATCACAACATTGCACCGCATTTATTGATACTATCCTACTTACTTTATCTCGTTGGATATAAAAAGGGATTCAAAAACACATGACTCATTATAGTGCCTAGACCTCTCTCTGAACTACAATCATCATAGCCAATAACTTTCTACAGTTGACATCTAGTTAACTTTGATTATCATCACTTTTGTAAACACTGAGCCTAGTATGGGGCTCCTCAGCAGCGCTCATCCATGATCCCACACTCAGGACTTTCAATTTCGTGCGAATGCCTAAACTCTAGACTACTGAGCCGGGATCCAAAGGTGTTGATGGCTAAATTCAACCAATAAATGATATTAAGTGACCATCTCCCATCGTCTTCGGTGGGTAAAAGCCTCACAACCAACACGGTTGAACTCCATTGGACACGGCTTCTCATTAGAACTCGGAGAATTACCCCTAGAAGCTAATCACTAGTGAGTACATGATAATTATCAATACAGGGTTATGGAGATTGTTGAGTTTTAAACTGAGACCACACTAGAATGAAACGGCTGTCCAGTGCTTTCAAGTTTTCAATAGTGGTACATGATCTCAATTTAATCTTAAAAATTAACTGTTACATAATATCATTTTGTTTTAGTTAAACCATATAAAAATGATATTGATTATTTAACACTCGATGCACGTATATACATATATATATCAAAGCAGTAATCAACGACTTACAAAATAAATTAGGTAGTACATATTACGTAAATTAACACACATTTGAAAATTATGCAAAAACCCTCCTACCATATTTCGAACAAGTTCATTTTTCGCCTAATAAAACTTTTTTAACCATAAAGACTAATGTAAATAGATATTTAAGCAGTGACATAAGTTTATGGAAAGACGGAGGGTGTTTTAAACTCTCACCTTGTATGTGGTCTGCTTTTAAATTATTTTACAATTTATACTGGTATATATTAGCACTGGCAAGCATTAATGGATACAGCAGGTTTTTAAGTCAAAGTCAGGGGCCATTGATTAGAGTGTAAGTGGCATACTGACAGCAGTCTTCGCAATGCCAGACCAGATTAGAGAGTAGCAAGTTAATTCATTTATTAACAACCTACAAAACTTGAACCCTGTATTACTCTAGGAATGTTTGGTGTACATGTCTATTCGCAAAAAAAGGGAAATACCACATCTGAGGTACTAAGATCAAATTGAATGGATAGTAAATTTTATATGAAAACTTTATTAATAAAAACACTGGTATTTTTGTAATTATCAGTAAGTTACAATAATAGTTACATTGTGTTGGCAATCAGCTTTGATGTCCTTATATTTTCTAAGCAGTATAAAACGCTGGAACTATAATTTGGACTAAGTGAAAGAAGATACACTTACTTTGATTGTGGTTGGAAAACATATTTGGTATGACATTTTCAATATAGCAACCTAGCCGTTCTTTAACTTCGATTTTACAGACTCCACAAACAGTTTTAGGCATCACAGCCAACCGGTATGAACGTCCCAATGTATTGAGTCTTAATTCAGTTCAGTTCCAACTGGCAAACTGTTGGGGACGATAGTAACAGCATGGCTTCATTTGAGTTGCAATTGATCGATAAAGGAGTGAATTCAGTGTCCTTTTGCTAATTAGTGCCCTTACAACAAGTGGACAATCGTAGGGGTTGTGAAGCTAATCTGGATATCACAAATAACAGAGGTCAATTCTAGTCGAAAACGAATGAGAGTGTGAAGATCAACTCGAAACTAAATTCATTAACCATTGATTGCCTTTCATCCAAGTAATTTTGGGAAAATACTGATGTAACACAACCAAGCAATTAGTCAATCAACTTAAGTTTATTTGTATTGTTTTTAAATAGAAAGAAATTCATGAATAGATATATGGTAATATTACCCTTAGACGGATAGTTATAAGCAAACAACCAATACAATTGAATAGAAAAATCAGTTTAGTACAATTCAAAACTAAGTAATATTGGACATTTGATTATATGAGTTGTTAATTTTGTTTATATATAGTTCAAGAAGCATTAGATTTCATCATTTGATTACTTTCAACCATTGAAGAGTAATAGGAAGAAACATATTAGGGAATCAATGACGTGATAAATTGTAGTGGGATACAAACGTATTTGGTGTCTACTTTTGCACTACATTAAAAAAGGAATTTCCATATGATATTCAATGCGCATAATGTGTGAAGGAAATCAAACGCATCATGATGTCCACGCAAGTATTTGCTGCAGTTACATTTACTGAACTTCATCTTGTTGTGTTAATGAAACGCGGAAACTTGGACCAATGCATATATGTCCTACATTGTAGCTGACTGACTGCACCCAAGATTGTGTATGATAGGATTTAAGCAAAATGATTGAACACACTGAATATATTTAACGACTATGACACCATAATCCCTATACGATTATACAATAATAATGATGATGATAAAAAAAGTCAATCTAGCCATAGGTTGAGGATTTGTAAATATTAAATTAAGTGTTCCATTCATAGAAGCTACATGGAGAAATTCTTGATACAAGATTACCAAGTCTACATTTTAACTTTAAAATAACTGAACAACTGCGCCGTTAGCGTTTGGGATTTTAAAGCGAGATGTTTTGTTGTTTTTAAAGTCCGACACCTTGAAAGCCCGTGATCAATGAACTTTGATTGAGTGGAATGCCCTGGTACGGCCGAGGGTGCGAAAAGTCAGCTTTCCCTGTCGAAATAATCTCACATGGCGACGCATACACATCCACTGACAGGGAAACCTATTCACTACCTTCTCGCGGCATTACTGTTGTCTACGAAATTGAGAAGACGAAAAGTGAATGTCCGGCGCTTTAAACGGGTTAGTGGAGACGGAGTGTCCATCTAGGGGAGTTGGAAAACTCTGATTCCAAACCAATGGTGCACATGGGCTCCAGTATCATAAAGGAACAAATGGAATATGAACTGTTGGTCACCGGCTGCCACGGAACCGCATCTCCTTACGTTGCTCTACTGCTTTGTGGATCAGACATTCAGGTAGTGGTCCCCTAAGAGAACCACCTGCTTCGGTATGGGCACCTGGGCATAGCCCGCACACAAAACAATTGACTTGTGTGGCGCATATATATTCGGCGCCTCTTTGTACAAATATTTACGTGTTCAAATAAAATAAAATAACTCAACTCCCAACACACTGACTACACTATGGTGTTTGTATTATGCTTATGGTTTGGAGAAATTGCAAATAATAGCTAAACAATACTATGTATTCCACTAGATGAATCAAGAAACTACTGTTGGGATTCTACGACAATTCTTCAATAAGATGCCTCAACATCGGAAAAAAACTGAAAGCATTTCTCCCAATCACCATGTTCCATGAAGACTTTTTGAAAATTGATGAACTATGTATTAAATTCTGACTGGATGACCACTGGTTCGGTTACTTAATTTAGGATGCTTTCAGAGTTTAACAGTTATCGATGAAAACATAAATAAACGGACCTTGAAGTGAAGCTCCTACTTTTACTTCGAGATTTTTCTCTAGTTAGAAGCTCGAGTCCAGAAGCATCTTAGAAAATTAGCAAGTAGCTAGGATATTGGTGTCAATTACTAGAGGGTTTTAGGACAACAATCATATATAACTTGACTTTCAACCATAGTTAACGAAAACTATACTGATAACTAGGGACATTTGTAAATCAACTTATTGCCATTTGAACACAAACGATATAAATTTGCTCTTTTTTATTAATTAGACTAAATCTTCTTGTAAGTTAACTCAGAAAAAATTCAGTAAAAAAAGGTAAATCTGTTCATATTGACAAAGATAAGTCAGATATAACAATCAGAAAATTACTATTCGCATTTATTTTTTGTGAATAAGTCTTAATTAGTTAGTTGTATAGTTGATAAAACAATGACAAATAACGAGAAGAAACGGATCTAAGAGAAAGCATGAAAATGGTTATCATCGCTTTTATTATTATTATTATTATTATTATTATTATTATTATTATTATATAGGAACGAGCTTTCATACTTGTTATTTTCTTAATTATTGGTAGAGTCGACAGTATTTTATATATATATATATATATATATCAATATATTGTTAACATGCAGAGAGTTAATTATTATAGACGATAATGAAAGGCTACCATCAATCAAGTCCCCAAAAAGCAGTGAAGAGGAATAAAGAGAAAAAAGCTATTTGGAAACATGTAGACTATTAGTGACTTAATTGATTATTACGATGAGTAGTACTAATTCGTAATTTGATCAATAGTTGTTACTTTTAGACGAACAAGGGAACAAATACACACAAAAAAATTAAAACCAAACTAACCGAAATCATAATTTCTTTAAAGCAGTTCATTATTAGAAAAGGGTGAAATATAACAACAGAAAAAAGCGAAAATGCACATGTATTGTTATTTATTGGGAAATTAACAAGTTGGCTGCTTATTATTATTTTTTTTTCGTAATCAATGTAAATGTATCATCGTATGTATGTATAATGTTGTAAGCTTGAAGTGATGGAATAAAAATGAATCAGAAACAAACAAACAGAGAAACGAACAAATACATGAATAAACTAACTTAGTGATTATTTGAATAACTTTACAAAAAATAAAATAGAATAACTATAGCGATAATAACAATAATAACATCCTAAAACTGAGGATTATTATTAAAATATCTCAAGAATAATTTATGCTTCCGATTTTTTTTTAAAAAGCAACAGTATCAGCAAGAACGTGGTGATTAATTGAAGAAGTTATATGTGTATGTATGTGTTGGCCTTCGAACCGGAGGTAAAATAAACGCGCTTACATATTTATAAAAAAAACTTCCGAAACCAAGAGACTTAAAAAACGAGGCAGATGTTTAAAAATCATACGAAAATGCGCGCGCGCGTTTATTTAAAGCGAAAAGAAAACACGGACAAGTTAATTGCTTGTGCACTTTGTGAGCCTATATTATGAAGCTACGATAGTGAGTGAGTGACAAGGGATAGTCACAAGTTATTTTTACTACCTCAACAAAAGTATCACAAGCACATTCAATAAAAGATCAACTACTTTTTACGACCTAAAGTGAAAAACTTTTTCTTCCCGGGAGCAGAAGAGCTACTAGCTACTTGAGACTCAGGAGCAACTCCAGAAGGTAACGTGGCAGCTCGTCCTCCAGCAGATGAAGAAGACTCCATTGGTTGCCCACTTGCACTTGATGCCACTGCATTAATAGCTTGAACCCAGCTATGCATATGTTTTTCAGAATGTGCTTGAAATAGAGATTCACCTCCGTTCGAAAGTTTGAGACGGAATACAAAAGAGCGTTTGGCGTAGTTGTACGCAGGTGCAGCGGAAGCGCCCACTAAATTAACAGGGAGTTCATGCCGATATAAATCCCCAGGTCTTTCTTTGGCATGTTTTTGCTCTTTATAGGCAGAAAGTGTGAAAGACGTTGCAGAGAGGACAAAATACAACTCATGCCAAGAGCGAGAAGAAGCTTTCTTTGTGCCTGTTTCCCATTCATGTTTACGTGTTAAAACACCTTCAAAGTCACGAGGAACAGGTTTACCAACATCAGAACTTCCACGTTCATGTCTTGGGGTGGTTACCGTTGGAAGACGACTACTACCTTGTTCAGCATCTCTGATATCCACAGCCCGCCTATCAGCTTCTGAAACCGGCGTTTGTACAGGTACGGACACAGGAGGTGGAGGTGGCTGAAATTCTCTAACAGCTTCAGCTATTTTCCTTTCTTTTTCCAATTGCCTGGCAGCCTCGGTTTCTGGAGTTCTTTCACGTGCTTTCAATTCCAGCTGAAAACAAAAAAAATTGAAAAAATCACATTGATATTAACTGGAAAAATTTTGATAAGAGAAAGGTGATAATCCTTTAGTAACTTAACCGAAACAGTATTTACTAAATTTATAACCCTTCCAGTGACAAATATCAAAATTGACGAGAGCATAACGATTAAAATGTCGTAAACACACATTTATTGAAGGGAATGATAACTAGAACTTACAGTTGTAAGCTTCTCTAACTCTCGGAAACGTTCTTCTTGTGTAGCGGCTGCACGTTCAAATGCAAAATGTTTTTTCAACAATGCTAAGGTTTCATCTAACGTTTCACCCAAATCAGTGTTATTAAGATAAGCTTCTTGTGACGTAAGCCAAGTATCTGCTATCTCAGCGTCCCGAGCAAACTCATATACCTCCATAAGAAGACTTAACGTTTCCCATCGCTCTGCCCATTGATCATTCAGCAAAATTTTTTCAGTTACCAGCTAAAACAAACACAAGCAAAAGTCATATAAAATATAAATACAAATATACAGCATCGAGAAAAAGCATATAAGATCGTTAAATATTGATAGTAAATCACCTGAATGCATTTTTTTCTGACTTCTTCTTCTTGAGGATGTCGACGATTTAGAAGAGTTCGACCTAAACTTAGGCAAATGCTGAAGTTTTCCTCTCGAGCATCTATTTCAGCCATTAGGCTACGATGACTATTCATCAGCAATTCGACTCCGGATACATCCCTAGAATATGTAACACACATATATACAACAATATAGCACACCATTAAAAAACTGATAAAACAATCAAACAATTGTACAAATACTTTATCTAGGAAATAACCGGCTATTGCATTAAGGAAGAGTACATTCCACTTTTAGTTCACAGTTAAAAATATACTGTCATACCGGAATAATTCTATGAACCAGCTGAAACAAGCATCGATTGGATCATTTCAACAGTTGTTTTTTCCTCGAATCAACTAAACGACTCATTTACAACAAATACACAAACGATATTAGTTATACATTTTGACTAGCCAAACTACTGAGAAGGTTATTCATTAACTTTTAACGTGTTAAAACTACTAATAAACTATGAACGCTTCTACTATGCTCTAGCCTGTTTGTGACTAGAAAAGAATTTATTTGTGTGTCGATACAATAAGAAGTAAACAGATAAGTTTTCCTTATCCTACACTAACGAGGCAGATAGTGATTAGTATAAAACGAAAACCTGACTGATACGCAAGAATTGTCGATTAATTATTGAAGAACCTAATCAGCAGTGTTAATGACGAAATTACTGAAAGTTAAAGCTGTATGATATACGAAAGTATGATCAGTGACGAATAAAATACGTTAGACGATAGGAAATTTACAACTAACCTTGGCTTTTCTTTAGTAGTCATCTCCATACGAATAGTATCCATCCACAAACGAAGTTCACGTACCATAGAGAAGAAACGATGGACATCAGAGGCATCATGTAAGCGTGCTTTACGTTGTTCCGCAGCACATTGTAGTTGTCGCCATGCATGAATAACTTCGTCCCGGCGGTCACATATAAGACGCTCTTTATCTGCGGCGTAAGACGGTAGTAAGCTATTAGCCGCTTCTACGATCCCTTCCACCTATAGGAGAATATAAAGGATGATATTATTAAATATTGAATGAAGACATTTCTGTATTACACACAAGTTGTGTTTCAGCTACGACAGTGATATTCATATTAAAATGAGAAACCGTCAACATAAATACAGTAATTGTAAAAGCTATTTAAAACTTGATCATCATGATGTCTGAGAAAATTTTAAAGTTGAACCTCATGATATTGGGTCATAGTCGATTAATTGTTATAAAAAGTGAAAATAGAACTTAGTTCAAATGTTAGAAGGTAGATCAGACAGGAAATCATTTCCTCTTGTTAGTGATAATTGGGTCACTTTTAGACAAGATTGTTTTACAGTTTAGAAATATTTTGATATTAACTTTGTAAATAGTACAAGCTGTAGGACCACAATAATTAGATTTGTGATTTTATGATAGGGCCTCATTCATATATGACCAGTGGTGTTAGAGGATAATTGTGAAGTTCCAAAGAAAATAATTTGTGATTTTTACTCAACTATTTAATGTTCATGTACCGGTGTTCATGATTGTTCAATCAAATTACTAATAACAACAAAAATCGCATCACAACAACCACGATTTAAAGGTTAATTTTAAGAATATTGTATTTCTCGACATATCTACTCATAGCATTACGAAAATAGTAAAGAACATAATTGATACTTGTTAGTCATTGTACTGATGTGACATTTACTGTGAAAGATAACCAAACAATTATCTATAAGAAAAAGGAATAGTGTTAGACCTACAGAAAAATTAGTCGACTAATTCGTGGGAAATGCTCATTTGAAGATATCGTAATCATAACCACATCTCTATCGGTGTATTTAGGTAATGAAATGCATCACTCTTGTGAAGAATGGAGAAATAACAAATACAAAAACAAGTCCACTTACTCGTGATCCAAGACGTGCCAGTTCACATTCAAATGTATTGTGTTTGCGTTGAAGTGCAGCGACAGCTTTAGCATCACGTCCAACTTCTTCTGGAATACTGCTGACTTTGTCGACAATACGATCGAGAACATCCTATAAAAAATAATGACAAATTTATTATCCCCTTTTTTGAAAAACTGATGCTTAACATATCAATCATAATATGGAAAGTATTCACGAAAGATAGCAAGAAATAAATCCAAGGAATATGTAAAGACGGGAAACGGTTAGCAGCTTCGTTAAATACAGTTTTCAAATGAAAATAAATACAAGGAAAAAATAAGGTATATAACACAGGGTGAAATTGATTATTGATTATTATTGACTGAGCTTCAATACTGGATTAAGCAAAACTTATGTGGAGCTATAAGACTCTAGTTATCCAGAGAAACACATCTCGCACTCTCAAATTAAGCATTACATTACACGTTTGTACTGTTTATTTTTTATGCGTATATTTTTTTAGATCCTGAGGATAATGCTAGTTCGTAACTGAAACCAAAATATCATAATTTATGGAAATTCAATAAGCATCTTTGAAATTTACTTGGCTTTTAACACAGAAATATTGGATCAAAGGGGAATCCAAATAGATATTCACCACACAAGACGGTTGTGGAGAGATAAAGGAAGATGAGAATAATGAAACGAAGAAAAAGATGAATTAAAATAAGTGAGTAGAAGTAGCGAATAGTGGGAAAAGCAGTTCAGTTAGGAAAAATACAACCAGAAAGAATCCTTCCAGTTTAGGAAGTTCCTCTCACTTTTGTCGAGTAAAAGAGAATTACAGCCGAAATTTCACTAACACCTATTATGAACCATAGAAACATATACATCAATGGAATGCTGAAAATCTGTAATCGGTAGACCAACTCTTGAATTATAACCTCTAATTAATGTACATGTCTGTGAGAGAAGTAAATTCTAGATAAACTAATAAACACGTTATAAAGTTGAGATCATAAGCTTAGTGTCTTTATTGCAGACTGATATTTGAATAGGTAAAATTTGGACGGTGGGACTACAATTTACGGACGACCTTTGAGACTCCAAACTGACCTTGAAAATATCCAACTACTTACTAGGGCTAAGTGAGGGTGGTTATAAACCTGTGTGAAGAGTAAGGATTATGATTTATAGTTGATGGTTAAGGTTAAGAATTATATTAGGGTTCTTCATCACGAACTGACATCAGCCAAAATGAAAAACACTATTTAGACAAATGGGTGAGTGAATTTCGCGCCAAAATCCAAGACCTCTTATCCTAAGTCCATAAATTATAGTCTCGCCAATATGGACTATATGATCCACACGAATAATTCATCAGCAGTAAGTAAATCATCGTAGTAGTAACTTCATACTAAATGAATGAAAAACATATCAGATTCCAGAATAAACACTACAATGTGACTTGTTAAAAAATGAAATGGTTGACAACTTAAACAAGATTATACCATATTTAACAGCAATACATTCTTGTTTTGCAAATGTGAAGAAAGAATAAAGTATAGTTACGTGATTAGTTTATGAGAGAAATCAAATCTTTCAAAATATAATTTACTAATGTCGGAAAAAAACAGGGTATTTATTAAATTCAACTTTTCTAGAAGTATACAATGCTTGTAGGATCAGAAAAGTGATTTAGGCGATAACTGTCTACGAGTTGTAAATGAGAGTAAACTATTTTTAGAAAAACACAATCTTACTTGGCAATCTGCCAAAAATTTATGTAGATCCCATGCAGTTTTCAAAAGTTGAATACGTGTATCAATGAGCTCCAGTAGATCAGCCCATGCTTCATTAATTCGATCCTTCCAACTGGCGATTTCAGCAGCTTCGCTGTGACCCTGACCAATAAGAGCGTTACATAATTCATTGGCTGCACTAATACGATATTTTCCAAGTTCATTTGTTTCACGAGAAAATTCGGCGAAACGTTCTCGAAGTAAACAACAATGTTCGTAATCTGCACCAACTTCATGACTACTTGCTACCAAGATACGTTCTGCAATCCAAGCCTAGAATAATGTTAATAATAATCAGTCATCTAAGTACCGACATATAAAACTTTATGGAGGCAAATATATCAGACAACTATTGAAAACAGTTCGATTACGGAACGTACTAATTGAGAAAAATAAATAAAATTAGTAGAACACGACACCATGTGACTAAGTAAACATAATGGTGTTAAAACAGAGAAATCATATACTTGAAAGGAGTTCAAGTTCATCCGCCTGATAAGATATAATCTGTTACGTGACCTACATAAGATTTTCGTATATTATTAACTGATCGATTTTCCAGACAAGCATCATTCATGGCAAAAGCTGAAAAGTAGTCCAATTACAACCATGGAATAAAGAATAGTTGTTTCAGCTCAGTTTTGTTGATGATGAAATTGAAGTATAAAGACGATAAATATTGAAATTTGTTCAGGATAAATAATGATGCAAATTTTGTAAGGGATATTTAGAATTTACATATACTGAACAGTTTTTGTTATACTAGAACTGATCGTATATCTTGTACAGCATAAATTGATTTAGTGTTACATTTATGTAGTTAAGAAACGAAAAGTTACTACATGAACATGACATAGGAATCGCATAATGTGTATGAATGTATGTAACGAAGAAGAAATACGAAAGGATAAAGAAATATAGAGAATGTGAATAATTGGTAAGATTGTTTATTAAGTGTTATTTGACCGACAGAAGGACAAGAGTGCTACACATTTCTATTGAACACAGAGACTAAGGTTGTTAGCTTGAATCCCCATAGCTTCCAGTGACACGTATGAAACGAGATAAAGTCCTATTAAAAAAACTTGGTGGTATATCACTCTGAATACCTTGGTTTTATCTACTACACGATCATTATCGACTAACTGTGATAGAAGGGAGCTGCGTAATGATTTTATTAGACCTGATGATTATCAAAAGATAAAGTATATTGACAGAATTGTCAAGAACGATAGGAAGGAAAGAAAGAACTCACCTCAAGATCTAAAATATCTCGTAAGAGATGATACAACTTCAGAATCTCATCAAGCCTTGCCCGGCGTTCACTACATAGATCACGTAAACCCGCATACATCTTGTCAATGCGTGCCTGTTTAGCGACAACAGCTTCAGACTCAGGATGATTGGCTTCCAATAAAGCCTGGCATCGTTCACCTAATCCACGGATTTCTGTGGCATAGTTCTCTACAGTTTTTTGTAGTTGTTCATGCTTTTTAATTGCGTTATTAGCGCCTTGTTCATCCTGTAAAAATATCAAAAGATAAGAGGTAATTGAAAGATTATAACCTGATTAAATAAATAAAAAACAGTACTTCAAAAAACATAACAGTAATGGGGATTTGGTGCTCATAAAACTACAAGTAAATGAGGAATAAAAAACTGACCTTCGCACGTTCATCACCCATTAAGTAAAGTTCTTGCTCTCCCATCCAAGCTTCAGCTTCGCTTGCATCGAATAGATACTGCTGAGCAACTTCATTTCGTGTTAATTGTTCTTGTCTTTCTCCTACTACATGTTGTAATTGTTCCCATAACACCCATAATTCATCTATAGCTTCACGGAATCGATCGCTTCGTGGATGACCTTCAAGTATCATTTGTTCGCCTTCCTGATGGTAAAAAATAAAATAGAATTTACATGAAGGGTTAGTATGAAACAAGTTTTCAACGAGTACCAATTGATATTGAAAATAAATTAAGAATTATGAAACGATAAAAAGTTCATTTTATCAAGGAATAGATCATAGAAATTAATACATGACTTTATTATAATATAAGCTGTAATATTAGAGATGGACACAAAACGTATCAAAATTAAATTGTATAGCAATTCACTACTTGAGACCCTCTTCAAGAAGGTCGTACACGACAAATGATACTTCCCTTAATCTATTTTTAGAAGTTAGCACAGATATTCTTTATAATGCAGTTTTTTTGTATTTCCAATTTTTAAAACCTAATCACCAGTTTAGAATCCTCAAATAACAATTATATAACCATTGGCAACTTCTGGTTGACATAAGCTTAGTATAAATATGCAGAAAATTTGAATGCTATTGACCAACTAACGAGATTTATGGACCTGGTAATATATCTGAATATAAGCTAACAACGAAAAGTGTAATGGTTGTTGTTTGTTGGTTTTTATTTTAATTTGAAATATTTTATAGCTTATTGTTTGACATACATTTGATTATCCCTTCAATCTTCTAGTTAAGTAGCTTTTCGAACTTCTTTTACTGTATCTGCTTAGTGTGTAACAAATAAAAATTGTATACTATTACGGTTACTTCTATGTTGTTCCAGTAAATCGGGTTTGCACAGCATAATAGAATACAATCCAAGTATAGTAATCAACTCGATAATCAATGAACTGAAGTACCAGAGATAAAAACAATTAACAACTAATAAAGAAAATTAATATCTTACGTGACAAACGGCATCAATACGTGGACGGTGATTATCTACTTCGTTAGACAGCATGCGATGACGTCTTATAAGTTGTTGTGTGGCAAGTAATGAACTTCCAAGCTTGCATGAGTCTTCAATAAGTGCCAACTTTTCTTTAATCCAGTCCTTCTCGTCTTCAATATCTCGTAAGAATTGACGAACTCTCTTTTGTTTAACAAGGCGATCACGGCGATCAGCTAGAGGAGCTTCTAATTCAGTAAGACGAATACGCACTTCCTGGTGAACTTGTTCAAACTCTTCACGACGTTCAGGATATTGTTCTTTGAGTTTTTCTGCATGAGTCTAAAAAAGGAATAAAAAAGTATATAAATCATTGTAAACCACATGTTAAAATATGAGATATATATTTTAGTTGAAATTGTTATTTAGATAATTCCCATGTGAATATTAATACTTGATGGTTCAAACGCTTGACTCCCAATAACGGGGTCAAATATACAGATAAATAATTCAGGTTTGGAATAGATTGGGTTTCTGATTCGGACTTCACCCATTGTCGGTTGTGTATCCATAGATTGTTCATGGTACAAGAAAAATACGTGTATATGGGTACTGAGTTTATTTATACTGTTACGGCAACATTCAATAACATATCATTCACCTACAGTAGTTTTTATTACTAGTATTCATTGGGAATACAGATTTATTTTAGTCATTTTAAAAAATGAAGGTTTCATTACAAAGATCAACATATCTACTTCTTCGTGAATGTTTCTTTGCGTTTTTCAAAGTATGGGAATTGGGAAGGAAGGTGTTTTTGTGCTCCGAGTTTTAGGTTACTTTGTAGTTCCCGTGATTAACATAAACTGTTTCAGACGAACTGTTTCGTATTACATGACAATTAACTTTGGAATAGTTAGTCAAAAAACTTAAACTCGCCAAAAATATGCTTTCATGTACAAAAAAATGCTTACAGTAGAATATTTGCGAGAGGAGTATGTACGTGACAATTATTTAGCAGTTATCGGAATGTGGTATAAAAACAGAAAGATTTATCCTATCAGACTAACCATTTTTGATAGTTACTGTACCAATATAGTAAAATTTAATAATGATAGTGTTTAAATTAATGAAAACCACCCTGACTTTATACTAGTGATGAACAATGAATGGACAATAATTATAAATGAGAATGTAGTCACTATACTATTAGTACGAAGCCAATTCTCATTACAAAATTCTAATCAATCAGATATGAATAAATATAAGGATTAGAAAGATAAAATTCGTTGTGGAATACAGAAAATGTAAATTACCGCCATATCTTGAAGCATTCGGCGTTTGGCAGCCAATTCTTGATCCTTGCGTTCTTGATCTTTGAGATGTTCATTGATTTCAACGAGACCGATTTCTTCAGTAACTTCTTCTGTAGTAGTAACTATTTGTGAGCTAACTTCAGTAATCCATGTAAGCATAGACTTAGCAGTTTCATCGAATAATGTTTCTATAGAAATAAAAATGTTTTAACCATTTAAAAAAATATTTACGGTAGAATAATGATAATAAAAGCAATAATAATGCTAACTACTCTCGAAGTGATCACTTACCTCTGTTAGCATCTGCCATTTTCGCGCTCTTATCAGCTGTAGTGGTGTTAAGGTCTTCCCACTGCTTACGTAAGGCAGATATTTTCGGTTCGACTTGGACTTGAAGCATAGGATGGGCTACAATAAGCTCTTCTCCCTCCTAGAACAGAATAACCCAATATTTATAACGTTAGGAAAATGTTTAGTGATAATTTTGATTTTATAACTGATAAGGTCAACAATTTCACTGTAAATAAACCTTGTAGTTTTATTTCTATATACAAATATAGAGCGTGTGTGCAGTTAGAACACGTTCAGATAACTCGGTAATATGATTGTGACCCAATCGAACAACCACAACTCATTAGATATTTAAGTTTCAATTAATAATAGTTTTTCCGAAAACTAGAAACATGAGCTATTGTGTGCTACTTGATTTACGAAAAATATCTATGAGTAATTAAGATATAAAAGACATACTTCAATAACTTTGGCAATTTTCTCCTTGTTGGCATCAAGTTCGCCTTCAAACGCCTTAAATCGCCCATATAATGCAGCAATGCTTCGAGCAATAGGTGCCGGTTGCTCTGTAATAGCCATAGCTTTCTCAGCAAGCCATTCTTCAGCCTAAAAATGTTGAATACACTTGTTTAAATATATTATGACTTACATCGTCAACGTCCTGACAAAATTCTTGTAGATGTAACTGTTCTTTGAGTTTTTGACCATGTTCATCTGCTCGCCTCTTTAGAGAGTCTCGTCTAAATAGAGATAATCGAGCAGGATAAAAATAGTATGTCACACGAAAATCCGATAAGAATACTTTATAGATATGGGTCTAGAGGTATAAACTTACCGTTGTTTAAGTTGTTCACATTTATTTTGAATCTTTTCAGTAGGGAAAATTCCACGACCAACCAATTTCGCACCATCATTCAACACATTGTCAATCTTTTCATCGGTTGGCACCAATGACGTTCGGAAGGTTTCAAAATTACGAAGATTTTCTTGTGCCATCTCCAAATTGATCTAGTCAAGTGAAAACAAACGGTTATTTAGATAGAACTCTCAAACACTCTTATTTGAGATGAAGTTATAAATAAATAGTATAAAAACAGCCAGGTGCCAGAGTAATTACCGTATTATATGGTGGGGAGAAAGGAACGAAAATGGTGAGAGATTCGCAAACTTATGTGCCTTCAATAAACTGGTCATAAGCGGCATCATATTCCCACATAAACGCATACACAAAACCACATGAACTTCACCGGATCACACTACACAAAACCAAATCGACCATATTTGCATCAACAAAACGTTCAGGAGGACTATAGAGGACGTGAGAACCAAGAGAGGAGCTGATATAGCATCAGATCATCAATTGCTGGTCGCCAAGATGAAATTGAAACTCAAGAAGCACTAGACAATGGGGCGGACAACATCACAAAAGTGCAATACGGCCTTTCTTTAGGATACTAACAAACTCAACAAATTCAAGATAGTCCTCAGCAATAAGTTCCAGGCCTTTCATGATCTACTCAATGGAGAAGGAACTACTGTGCACAGCAACTGGAAGGGGATCAAAGAGGCAATCACTTCAACATGTCATGAGGTCCTGGGTAACAAGAAGAACCATCACAAGGAGTGGATCATTGTTGATACACTGGATAAGATTCAAGAAAGAAGGAACAAGAAGGCAGCAATCAATACCAGCCAGATAAGAACAGAGAAAGCCAAGGCACAAGTTGAATACACAGAAGTAAACAAGCAAATGAAGAGGAGCATCAGAACCGATAAGCGTAAATATGTAGAAGATCTAGCAATAACGGCGGAAAAGGCTGAAAGAGGAAGAAGCACGAGACGGTTGCATGATACAACAAAGAAGTTTGCTGGAAATTATCTCAAACCAAAACGACCAGTGAAAAGCAAGGAAGGTGAGGTAATCACCAACATTGAAGAGCAACAAAACAGGTGGGTGGAACACTTCAAAGAACACTCGAATCGACTAATCCTACTGCACCTTCCCAACATCGAAGTAGCACCCACGGACCTCCCGATCGAGGTTGGTCCACCAACAGTTGTAGAGATCAGCATCACCATCGGAAAAATCAAGAGCGACAAAGCAGCAGGACCGGACAACATTCCAACAGAGGTACTGAAAGCAGTTGTAGCAGTAACTACAAGAATAGATCACATTTTCTTCAATAAGATTTGGGATGAAGAACAAATACCAAAGAAAGGCTATCTCAGCAAGTGTGATAAATACAGGGGCAAACCAGACTGCGTCATACCGTCAAATAGAAAATAAAAATTATACAGGGCCAAGCCAAAAAGTGGCTGTGATTGTGAGAGACTGTAGTTAGTAAACTGCGTATAACTAAAGAATAGTAAATCGTACAATAATATCCTATAAGTCAAAATAAAGCGTATAATAAGAGAAATATGAATAAGGATAATTTAGTTACTGAATAGTTATGCAATAAGCTTCTCTTCAGCAAAATTTGGGATGAAGAACAAGTACCAACAGACTGGAAAGAAGGACTCCTGATCAAAATACCACAGAAAGGCGATCTCAGCAAGTGTAATAACCACACGGGCATCACTCTTCTCTCAATACCGGGAAAAGTCTTCAACAGGGTATTGTTAAACAGGATGAAGGACTGCGTAGACGTCCAACTTCGTGACCAACAGGCAGGATTCCGTAAGGATAGATCGTGTACAGACCAAATCGCAACTCTACGGATCATTGTGGAACAATCAATTGAATGGAATTCATCACTGTACATCAACTTCATTGACTACGAAAAGGCATTTGATAGCGTAGACAGAACAACACTATGGAAACTTTTTCGACACTACGGCGTGCCTCAGAAGATAGTCAATATCATACAGAGTTCATATGATGGATTACACTGCAAAATCGTGCATGGAGGACAGTTGACAAAGTCGTTCGAAGTGAAGACCAGTGTCAGGCAAGGTTGCTTACTCTCACCCTTTCTCTTTCTCCTGATGATCGACTGGATCATGAAGACGTCAACATCTGAAGGGAAGCATGGGATACAATGGACATCTAGGATGCAGTTGGACGATCTAGACTTCGCAGATGACCTGGCCCTTCTATCCCAAACGCAACAACAAATGCAGGAGAAGACGAACAGTGTGGCAGCAGCCTCAGCAGCAGTAGGTCTAAATATACACAAAGGGAAAAGCAGGATTCTCCGATACAACACAGCATGCACCAATCTAATCACAATTGACGGAGAAGATTTGGAAGATGTAAAAACCTTTACATATTTGGGCAGCATCATTGATGAACAGGGTGGATCTGATACAGATGTGAAGGCGCGGATTGGTAAAGCAAAAGCATCATATCAACAACTGAAGAATATCTGGAAGTCAAAGTAACTGTCAACCAACACCAAGGTCAGGATTTTCAATACAAATGTCAAGACAGTTCTACTGTATGGGGTGGAAACCTGGAGAACTACAAAAGCCATCATCCAGAAAATACAGGTGTTTATTAACAATTGTCTACGCAAAATACTTCAGATCCATTGGCCGGACACTGATAGCAACAACGTACTGTGGGAGAGAACAAACCAGATCCCAGCGGAGGAAGAAATCAGGAAGAAGCGCTGGAAGTGGATAGGACACACATTGAAGAAAGCACCCAACTGCGTCACAAGACAAGCCCTCACATGGAATCCTCAAGGCCAAAGGAAAAGAGGAAGACCAGCGAACACATTACGCCGAGAAATGGAGATAGACATGAGAAAAATGAACCAGAATTGGATGGAACTAGAAAAGAAGGCCCAGGACAGAGTGGGTTGGAGAATGCTGGTCGGCGACCTATGCTCCATTAGGAGTAACAGGCGTAAGTAAGTAATGGTGGATAAGACTAAATCATTGAAAAGAAAAGCTTAGAATATTCTGCGTAAACATTATTGTAATGATGATGTGAGTGCACAATCCGAAATAAACAACTAAACTTTGTGAGACGTCTTTTCTAGTTCTATTTTATTACTTTATTTATTCCAATGGGCTAGAATATGCAACAAATGAGCTATTATTATTAACTGGATTGAGATAATACTTTGCATGTGTATTTGTGGTTATTCTTTTGGGAATTTCGAAATGCAGTTACAAATGCACAGCTCTGAGAATGGATCGGAAAATATATTGTAATGAATTGAGAAAAGTAGACAGGCATGGGAAATATAGATTAACTTACAGGAGCTTCTTCCTTGGAAACAACCTTCTCCATTTTTGCTAGAAGGACCTCCGCTTGTAAAGCATCTCTAAAGAATGTCTAATATAATTAGAACATAACATGACTTGAGCTTACTTGGGCTTCGACACCTTCTTGTAATGCTGCGGTGCGGTTTTCATACATTCTTCGTAGAGCTTCCCAATTTTCTTCGATACCGTCTAACCTCTGGGCCAAAAACATGTATTGGGCATCTGTCTGAACTTCAGTCACACGTCTGCCGAAATCCATAAGCCGATGAAAGTCATTTTCATATCCATCGATTTCAGCTTTTAATTGTTCATGTTGGTCTAAAAGGGTCTCCGCCTCCTAAAAATGTAAAGTTAGAAATAAAACACCTTAACTAACCTCTAAGTTATTTGGAACCTCTTCAGAAGCTACAGCGATTTGTGTGCGACGAAGCCAGATTTGGAAATGATCTAAATCTTGTAAGAAACGTTGCAATTCGCTTGAATCATTAAGTCGATCATCTCTTTCTTTTACGATCTCTTTCAGTTCATTCCATAAGTCATGAATCTTCTCTTTTTCAGCTATAACAACCTAAAGAAATTAGCATATTACGTAATCTATAACTTACAGCTTGAGTTTCTGGTTTTGCTTCAGTAAGTTCTTGGGCTTGTTCATCCAAGTGCTTAACCTTAGCCTCAATAGCATTTAAATCGCGTTGTAATCCACCAAGTCTACGCTGAAGCTGCATAATACCCTCCAAGTTATTATCTAGCTCATCGGTTGATTCGATTAACTTTGCTTTATCTTTTATCCAATTCGCTGTTTCTGAACTTTCGATTAAAAATTGATTATACTGGTAAGATAAATCTAATTGTCTTTTTTGTTTGTCAACAAGGTCGGCTAACTCATTCCATGATGCGTTGAGTTCATCTTGATGTCTTAATATCTTTTCAGCGTCTGGATGAGCTTTATCTAACATTTCTTCTGAAAGTAGATTTACACTACCAACCTTTTTGGCGTTTCCAGCCATTTCTTTTTCGAAACATTCGAACCGATGTCGAATAACCTCCAATTCTTCAATTTCGTCACTTGGAACTAACGTCGTTAAAAGTTTTTCTTTTTCAGTTATCCATGTACGTACGGTATCTGAGTCATCAAATAGTTTATACATCGAAAGAGCATCATTTAAACGTTTATGCCGTAATCTACATAATTCTTTTACTAAAGCATAATGTTGATCGACCGCATCTAAACGATGTGCTATAGCTGTGGCATCACTGTCTGGATAATCAGAAACTCGTGATGCATCTTGATTTAGTTGAGATATTGTTTCTTGGTAGTTTTGAAGATTATCCATAACTTCCTGGTTGTTTTTCAGTAAAGACACTGTTGTGGCTTGTTTAAGACCTACATCTTCGTTGCTAACAATGCGTTGTTGGTCAGTCAACCATACATCTGCATCATCACAGTCTGCCATTAGTTGGAAGAAATCCTGTGACTCAATTAGGCGTTGTTTACGCTCTGTTATCAAGTCAACTAATTGACCCCATAATTGATTCATTTCAACGATACGCTGGGATATTTGCTCACCACCTTGATTTCCATCAGTAATAAGTTGTTCACCATGCTTCAATGCATCTTCTAAAACAGCTCGATGCATTTGACACTCTTCTTCAAGAGCTTTATGTTTACGTAAAAGTCGACTTACTGAACTTAGATCATGACCCAAGTCTGGACTGGACATAAGCTGGCTTTTTTCTTTGATCCATTCCTTTTCATCCTCCATATCCCAGAAAAATTGCCACATTTCCCGTGAATCCCGAAGACCACGAAGACGAGCCTCCGCCAAGTCATGTAAATCATCATACGCCGCACGTAATTTTTCAGTACGCTCCTGAACTATTTCGGGTTCAATTGGTTTGTATGCACCCATATCCGGCGTAAATGACCCAACAATAAATGGGGTGGCCTGGTCAACAACCTGATTCATTCTACCGCCGAGGACACGAATGTCAGCTTCCAATAAATTATGCTTTTGCAAGAGGTCCTCAACACCCATCAAATGTTTACCATAATCCTGCGACTTAAGACGGCTCTTTATTTCTTCGATCCAATCCATCAAATAGGTCATTTCTTGGAAGATATGCTGTAACTGTAAACTTAGTTCTAGATGCTGGCGTCTAATGCTAAGTGAGTCCAATAGATTACGCCACATAGCAAGTACTTTATCCCTCCGCAACTGGATATTTTCATGAGCATGATAATTTTCTCTCTTCAGCTCCTCTGCAACATTGACCATAGCATTTACACGCTCTTCATATGCATATATATCTGTTTCTATGGCCTCATGCTTCTTTGTTGCAGCTTCAACAGCAGCAAGGTTATCACCAAAGAACTCTTGTAAAACGAGTCGTTGATTATCTGTAAGCCAAGTTTCTCGCATTCCAGCTTTACGGTCGAAACGAGAGGCAAGTTGTTCCAACTTCTCCTGACGTATAAGTTCATCTCGTACAGCTAATTCCCGTGCATGTTCAGCTCTTTCAAGCATTTCCCAGGCACGATTTATATCTGCTATCATTTTTCCTTCAGGTGGATTATATTGTCTTTGATTGTTGGCGCGCATTTTACTGCGAATAGTGAAAAGTAAAACTTCAAGACCCCCTTTTTCTCTGAACTTGGGAGGTTTTTCGACGGTTCGGTAAGTGTTGAAGCCAGCTAACTGGTGTTGAACACCCGAAAGTGAATTGGCGAATGTACGGTCGTCTAAAAGCTTTATGGTTTTCTTTATCCAGTCAAGAAGATCAGAAGTTAATTGTTCATATTGATTGATCATGTCATCAGTTTCGATGGCCTGGTTGACGACCTTACCAATCCTTTTCGAATGTACAGTATCAGCTTTCATTTTGTTAAAGTAGTGGTAATATGTAACAACATAGGTAATAATAGACTTTTCATCTGGTTGTTCAACAGCCACGTCAGATGGTTCTAAAAGAGGGTGAAGATTTAATTTTTCTTCGGCAACACTGAAGGCGGTAGTCAGGTTTTTAATTGGCTCTGATTTAGACAGTTTGGAGTATTCAATTAGATCAGGTCGGTGTTTATGAATTAAAGCATTAAAAGCTAAACCATCACGCCAACTTGTCGTAAAGTTCCGAACATTTACATTGGGATAACCTGCAGTTTTCATTTGGCACCATAATAACAAAGCGTCTTTAGCGCATCGGGTTTCACTTGTCTGATATTCTTCAACAATTATATCTTGGATTTGGAAACGCAAAATAATTGTCCAAATAAGTCCAAGTGTTAGTCGTGAATTTCCGTCTACGATATCGTGAGCACCCACATTTTCTAGGTGAACATGCTGATCACACAGGAAATTTAAGGACTTGTCAACATTCTCTAAACAATGGATTCGCATTTTCCCCCTTGTGGGTCGAGGAAGACGTTCACCAGATAAAATCTCTAAGAGTTTTAGGAGCATTTTCCCGTCCCTTAGATCTAGGTATAGATCTTCGATGTTGCAAGACACAACCGAAAGGTGGGAGTTCACCCATTTTGTGAATGTCTTTTTCTGAACAACCTCACGTTCGTCTATAATGATACTTGGAATTAAACTATCACAAAAACTAACCTGCAAGTGCTTTAATACGCGATCGTTCGTACAGTTTTGCTGTACTGTTTCCACTTTCGAATTCATCCTCATCCGAAGTATAATTGGCATTCTGTATGTTATTAGGTTCCCAGTGTAAATTTTGGTGGATTGCCTGGATCTCCATCTCTGTGAAAACAAACAATAACACGAAAAAAGATTTTCAACGTAAGGCAACATGAACTATTTTTACAGGATTTTAGTGGAGGTGAATTTACAAACCTATCATCACCAAATTGGATTTATAGTAATATTTATAAGCTAGAATATTAGTGCAACCTTCGAGACAGGACCAAATCCACATACTAATGTTCACGAAATGTTATTGCAAAGTGAAAATCACCGGAACTTTGCCTCTGACCTATTGTCATCTCTTACCTCTTTCTAAGGAAAGTACAACCACTGGCTTCGCTAAACACCAGTCATCTCATCTGCTGACAACCAAAATTGAAGGTAGCAAGATGATATATGATCAACACTCAGGGACATCATTTTATAGAGATTCTTGGGTTTGTTTCCTATACACCTAAAACTGACTGATAAATCAACAATAACTGATGGATAAGTACAACTTGTGAGCTGTGTAACAGTCCAACTCAAAATCTGTAATAAAGTATTAAAGTGAAGCAGAGAATTTCTTTGAGATGATCATTAGTCGAGTCTGGAATAATGTCTGACAATCAGAGCAATATAAGATTTAGATTCATTTGAGTTAAGGACTTAGATTTATGGTTGTTTTCAGCGTGCTGCTATACGTCGAACCATTCAGCTCATAAAAATGAAACGTCAAAAATGTCTTACGTAGTTCCTGTTTATATTAACACAGAGGGAAAGTTTCACCTCAAGATTGTGTAATCTGTTCTTAAGACGATAAACAGGACTGATTCCAGTTGAACAAATCATAAGAAAAACAAGATAATCCAATGTAAATAAAGAGTAAAACGTTTCGTTGCTACAAAGATGTTATGAATTGGTTTTGTCTGGCATACTGCAAAAAGGCCCGTCGGTCGTAAACAACATAGGACGAAATAAATGTGCATCACTCCAAGCTGACAGAATAACAAGATAGAATTGACAAGGTGAAAGACTAAGGAGTTTCAGTAAAGTTATCAAATAGTAGAAACTAAGATTGGAAAGAGAGTAAAAAGGAACTTATGAAAAGTATGGAATAATACTAAGCTCAATAGTTAGCATATATAAATTCGTCATAGCCTAACCAACTTTGAGCCACATCATCCAAACTCGTTAGCATCAGATTACAACTATCTAGAATACCCGAATAAAGCAAGATGTGTCTCTCGACAGAACCCAGACCAACATTCGACGGCTTCACAAATTGACCTTCTCCTGGCATAGCTACCCACAGCCTCATTTGAACCATAGGTTACTATATTCGTAGCTTTACGCTAGTGACTTGATGGCTTCACCATACATGAGAAATGATTCGAAGGTAACTGTAATACAATACTAGGGATATATCGAAGTTATTTATCTCTTTAAACTATGTTTTATAGCTATAAATACTTGGTGCACTGCCACGCAGCATACTCTTTAGTTGATAAGTAGACGGATAATTTGTTTGGGTGACGATAGACATGGGTTGGCGAAATCCGAATGAGTGTTTTTAACCGTGTCAAGATTTTGTTGAACTATCCAACCGTGACTGGATAATTAAAGTGGTTGATGAGCTTAGCTAAATAGTAATTCAACGTAAGTCATTCAACAAGTTGATGTTCACCCAAGAGAAGGTGAGTTCCTGTGAAGGTTAGTGATACTAGCCGTTTGATTAACTTGAATTCAGTGGGGCAAGGTTTGTACCTAAGGCCAGATGATTTAAGTCTAGTAGGACTACTCTCTGCAGTCATATTGGATATTGATGTACACCAATACTGGAACAAAAATTTCAATTTTGGTAGGAAAATTTATTCTAAATACTTTTGTACGGTATCTGTGTTCCATCAATTGGTGTAGGGTTGACAATTAGTCAAAACAAGCAAGTCTTAGACCCATATTTTCTGAACGTCTGCTCTTCATGGGTCTATTGTGGGAAAGTTATCACATTTTACATATAATGTGATGAATCAGTCAATTTTTATAATTTCAACAGAAATTTATAGTTCACCGTTTTGATAACACCGATATCAGATGCCCAAAGTCAAAAGTTTCCTACAGGGATAAAGTCGGAAACAACGTAGCACAGTGTATATACTGAAACAAACTTCAGCGAGTTGATTTTTCTGAAGTTGTAATACATTTTACTAACCCACAACTTTAACAAGTCTGCGTAACTGGTAACTTAGTGAATGAGGATACGTAGTAATACAAATAATTAGGAAAGTGAAATCTAACCAGGGATTAATTAGTCATGTATTAATAATAAGTTACTTTCCCGTTTACTATGTTAAGTAGCTATACACCACAAACTGCTTATCACGAATAACAACCAGAGCTACTGATATGTCTTGTGCAGAACAAGGAAAAATTGTTCACAGAGGATCAGGTCCAAGAAATTATGGGTAACGAACATCAGTTGCTCGTAAGCCTATGTAATAACCTTAAAATGAAAATGTCGAATATTACCGTTAAGAAACAAGATGTACAATCCCAACATACTGAGTACAAGCACTCAGTGGTTTAAAGGTACTTTAAAAATAAATTCCGAGTCAAATACAAGAGTATTATCTTGAGTAAATCAACCCATCTGACTTGTGGCTAGATATAATGTTGTAGTAACTAAGAATAATCCATATTCATGATAGATCCTGAGTAGCTTTTGTCTGTATGTTTCTCAACACACAAATTACAGTGATTCAACTGGAAACAAAATTCTTCTGAACCTGAATGATGAAACTACTAGTCGCTTGATAGTAATATGATTGAAGGCTGGTTGGAGGTATGAAAATTACTTGACGATTTACCTATTCAAATCGACTTGCTAAAATCTGATTAGTCAAAATGTGTTGGAATTCACACTTTCTGAACTTGGCACAGAGAAAAAACTACAAGATACATATAGCCAGAAATCTTTCTAACTTGGAAGCTTTGATAGAGAACATGAGATGTTTTCTTTATTAGGTTGGAAAAAAAAGCTAAGATCATCTAGTCTCAAAGAACTGCTAGATTACATTGCTTCAAGACTCGATGGAAACTGAAAAGTGATCGGAGCAAATGTGAAGCCAACAATCCTTCTATACTAAAATGGACTTCAATGGTACTAATCAGATCTAATCTGCTATTAATGCGCGGGTGATGCTCCAGAGATGCCGGACAAAATTACATTGTTGATACTATTCTGATGTCAATAACGGCACAGCTAAGACGATGCAACACTGTATATTACCGAAATCATTCCGTAACTCTTGATAAATAAAATAGGTACGGAGACTTACCAAACAAAGTTCCCAACCTTTATCTCAACCTTGAATGAAATGCGCGCGTCAACTTGCCGCCATGTGAGAAAGCCCTCCATAGTGTATACTGTTAAAATTTTAAGAATATCTTCAGGAACTAAGTAATTAAGCTTTATTTCAGCTTTTAAAGCACACAAATCCGCATTTTGACGCCTAGATCTTGCCATTTTTAAGATCTAAAATGTCTTATACACATAATCCTCATATGTTTCTGCAAATTATTGCGGCGGTAAGTAGTTCCCCAAAGCTGACGATATTAAGATGGAATAGAGGATACAGTAACATGGATTTATAACAGCAAGTAAACAGATTAGAATGGTGATCTTACATTGGGGATAAAACAAGGTGTGGGTGTCACACAAAATGCATACAAGAGGTCTTCGGTACACATGCTTATATACATACATAAGGGATGTTATAGTCAGGCCATCTGAAATTTCGAGACGTCTAGCCATATTTGTTTTATTATCAACATTAATCACGAGTTTACTTTTAATATAATCGAGATCCCTCGAGTGAAGAATTTTTTAATGAGTTCGATATTGTCTGGACTGGCTCGGAGATTAATAAAGCGAGTAAAAGTGTTTCAGATATCTGTAATTTAGCCTTGAGTTGTGTAAGGCCTTTCTGAGACAGGGCAAACAACAATGTTGGAAGTTCTGTTGATCTCTGGGATTTGATCGATAAATGAAGCTAGTTTGTCGACAGCGTTGAGTTAAAAATAAACAAGAAGCCCTTGTACCTGATGTGAATTAAAAGTTATTTGGGCAGATGTTAGCAGAATGTCGGTTGGCCAAAAACTTCTCTCATCGATGACAAATTTTCTGTTACCAAAGCCATTTTAAATTCGATATCACAGAAAATTCATCTAATCGTTGTCCATGGGTAAAGTCCGATATTTCTGAAACTATTTAATGATTAATTCACAGGATTTGGACACCATTACCAGACATGTTAGTAAAAATTCTACTTAACATCCCTATTTCGTCTATCTCCACGTAATCTAAATTTCTGGTTATTATGCTCGTGCCTACCTCCGTGCTCCTTCGACCAACATTTATGTTTAAATAAATAGTGAGATATAGTCAGTTTCATCTCTGCGTACAGTTTCTAAGCAAGCTAGACGTTGGAAGTGATGTGTTCGACGACGGGTTGAAACGTGCTCTTGAGTGGATACCTGACCGAGGGCCTTCAGCCAATACTGTATTCGTCAAAAATAGAATGATTGGCGTCGATGATAAATGCTTTTGAAGCTGTCAGCTTTGGGGAACTACTTACCGCCGCAATAATTTGCAGAAACATATGAGGATTATGTGTACAAGACAGTTTAGCTTTTGAAGGCTGCAAGATTTATGCAACACTATTCGGTTCTCGATTTTTTCACTCATTAATATTGTCTATTTTTGGTTCAACAGGGGAATGTTAACATTCGCCTTTTCATCCAGTTTTGGTTTTCTTCATGTGTCATTCCCATGGTATGATTTTCAGTGACTGATTTGATTTTCTGTATTCCACGATAAAAACTAATGGCTGCCGCCTGTTTGCTTCAGCTCAAGTTGATTGAGCTGATTCATCGTTTGACCACAGAACTGCATTCTTAGTTTGCCAAGAGCGTATTTTCTTTCTAGTAATTAGTTTTGAGGTTTTTGAAGTTTTTTTACTTGATATTTTATGGTTTAGAATTCACCGATACTTTTGATTACTGACTGAACGGTATCACTTGAATGATGAACTAATTAGGTATACCGCATAGTTTATGTACTTTAAGCGTAACTCCGGGTTTAACTTGTACTGTGGGACTGTTTAGTTATCCTCGCATAGTGGGTCCGAAGACTTTAAGACGGTTGCCGCACACTTTATTGCACAACACGAGGAACGATGTGTCCGCGTTGACCTTTAATAACCTTAAAAATTTTTCATACATCATTCAACACTCAATGTTAATCAACTACCACTACAACTTCACTAGCTTACGACAGTCGTTAGATTTCAAAACATTATAGTAGTCGTGGTTAGTTCACTCTCAATCAAACTTAGCCTTGAAATACCTATCTGTATACGTTTATACAAGTTTGTGATACTAAAACAGACGAACAATAACGCAGTACACTAACTTGTTGTTAACATTCGTGATCCACACTTATTTGAGCGAAATAACGATTGTCTACGATAAAGCAGTCACAAAAGGGTCTACAGAATTACTTATTTACTTCCTTACGCCTGTTACTCCTAATGGAGCATAGGTCGCCGACCAGCATTCTCCAACCCACTCTGTCCTGGGCCTTCTTTTCTAGTTCCATCCAATTCTGGTTCATTTTTCTCATGTCTATCTCCATTTCTCGGCGTAATGTGTTCGCTGGTCTTCCTCTTTTCCTTTGGCCTTGAGGATTCCATGTGAGGGCTTGTCTTGTGACGCAGTTGGGTGCTTTCTTCAATGTGTGTCCTATCCACTTCCAGCGCTTCTTCCTGATTTCTTCCTCCGCTGGGATCTGGTTTGTTCTCTCCCACAGTACGTTGTTGCTATCAGTGTCCGGCCAATGGATCTGAAGTATTTTGCGTAGACAATTGTTAATAAACACCTGTATTTTCTGGATGATGGCTTTTGTAGTTCTCCAGGTTTCCACCCCATACAGTAGAACTGTCTTGACATTTGTATTGAAAATCCTGACCTTGGTGTTGGTTGACAGTTACTTTGACTTCCAGATATTCTTCAGTTGTTGATATGATGCTTTTGCTTTACCAATCCGCGCCTTCACATCTGTATCAGATCCACCCTGTTCATCAATGATGCTGCCCAAATATGTAAAGGTTTTTACATCTTCCAAATCTTCTCCGTCAATTGTGATTAGATTGGTGCATGCTGTGTTGTATCGGAGAATCCTGCTTTTCCCTTTGTGTATATTTAGACCTACTGCTGCTGAGGCTGCTGCCACACTGTTCGTCTTCTCCTGCATTTGTTGTTGCGTTTGGGATAGAAGGGCCAGGTCATCTGCGAAGTCTAGATCGTCCAACTGCATCCTAGATGTCCATTGTATCCCATGCTTCCCTTCAGATGTTGACGTCTTCATGATCCAGTCGATCATCAGGAGAAAGAGAAAGGGTGAGAGTAAGCAACCTTGCCTGACACTGGTCTTCACTTCGAACGACTTTGTCAACTGTCCTCCATGCACGATTTTGCAGTGTAATCCATCATATGAACTCTGTATGATATTGACTATCTTCTGAGGCACGCCGTAGTGTCGAAAAAGTTTCCATAGTGTTGTTCTGTCTACGCTATCAAATGCCTTTTCGTAGTCAATGAAGTTGATGTACAGTGATGAATTCCATTCAATTGATTGTTCCACAATGATCCGTAGAGTTGCGATTTGGTCTGTACACGATCTATCCTTACGGAATCCTGCCTGTTGGTCACGAAGTTGGACGTCTACGCAGTCCTTCATCCTGTTTAACAATACCCTGTTGAAGACTTTTCCCGGTATTGAGAGAAGAGTGATGCCCGTGTGGTTATTACACTTGCTGAGATCGCCTTTCTGTGGTATTTTGATCAGGAGTCCTTCTTTCCAGTCTGTTGGTACTTGTTCTTCATCCCAAATTTTGCTGAAGAGAAGCTTATTGCATAACTATTCAGTAACTAAATTATCCTTATTCATATTTCTCTTATTATACGCTTTATTTTGACTTATAGGATATTATTGTACGATTTACTATTCTTTAGTTATACGCAGTTTACTAACTACAGTCTCTCACAATCACAGCCACTTTTTGGCTTGGCCCTGTATAATTTTTATTTTCTATTTGACGGTATGACGCAGTCTGGTTTGCCCCTGTATTTATCACACTTGCTGAGATAGCCTTTCTTTGGTATTTGTTCTTCATCCCAAATCTTATTGAAGAAAATGTGATCTATTCTTGTAGTTACTGCTACAACTGCTTTCAGTACCTCTGTTGGAATGTTGTCCGGTCCTGCTGCTTTGTCGCTCTTGATTTTTCCGATGGTGATGCTGATCTCTACAACTGTTGGTGGACCAACCTCGATCGGGAGGTCCGTGGGTGCTACTTCGATGTTGGGAAGGTGCAGTAGGATTAGTCGATTCGAGTGTTCTTTGAAGTGTTCCACCCACCTGTTTTGTTGCTCTTCAATGTTGGTGATTACCTCACCTTCCTTGCTTTTCACTGGTCGTTTTGGTTTGAGATAATTTCCAGCAAACTTCTTTGTTGTATCATGCAACCGTCTCGTGCTTCTTCCTCTTTCAGCCTTTTCCGCCGTTATTGCTAGATCTTCTACATATTTACGCTTATCGGTTCTGATGCTCCTCTTCATTTGCTTGTTTACTTCTGTGTATTCAACTTGTGCCTTGGCTTTCTCTGTTCTTATCTGGCTGGTATTGATTGCTGCCTTCTTGTTCCTTCTTTCTTGAATCTTATCCAGTGTATCAACAATGATCCACTCCTTGTGATGGTTCTTCTTGTTACCCAGGACCTCATGACATGTTGAAGTTTTCACCACTTTCATCCCTTTCCAGTTTCTTTCCATAGTAATTCCTCTCCATTGAGTAGATCATCAATGGCCTGGAACTTCTATAGACCACATTTATTCAACATTCAATAAATGTTGTAATTTGTAGACCATGCCTGTAAACATGGCGTGTACCTGCCCGTGCAGAAATATATGTTATTATTGCTGAGGGCTATCTTGAATTTATTGAATTTGTCAGTGTCCCGGAAAAAAGAACTATTCAACTTTTGTGATTTTGTCCACCTCGTTTTCCAGTGCTCCTTAAGTCTTAATTTCATCTTGGCGACCAGCAAGTAATGATCTGACACTATATCCGCTCCTCTCTTTGTTCTCACATCCTTCATTATCCTCCCGAACTTTTTGTTGATGCAGATATGGTCAATTTTGTTTTGCTTAGTGTGATCCGGTGAAGTCCATGTCGCTTTGTGTACGTGTTTATGTGGGAATATGGTGCCGCCTATGACCAGTTTATTGAAGGCACATAGGTTTGCATACCTCTCACTATTTTCGTCTCTTTCTCCTAGTCCA